CCCCCCCTAGTGATATTGCGGGGTTTAATTAACTTCATTATTTATAGTCCCGGACTTTAGTCAAAAGTTCGGTTATTATTCCTCAATCCTAAAAGAGTTGGTGAATCAACTTATCAACAAGTTATTTGTGGAGTTGTCTTACAGCCAGGGCGCACACGCTGACCGCAGATAGCTTGTTTTTGAAGATGAGGCGACAGGCGACAGGGCATAGAGAAAAAAAGGAGGTCTTTGCATTGCGGGCATCTTGGAATTTTTTTGATGACGTAGGTCGGCACAGCGACTTTTATCATCGATTTCCGATGCGGTCCGGATTCGATCCGATTCGAGTCACATATAAGCCTCTGTGAACTCTTAAATGCTCAAGACTTTTTTATACGCAAAAATCCAAGTCAAGTCAAAGCGACTCTTTCTCACTCCAACTCCCCCAGAAGAGATAGTCAGCTTGGGATTTCTAGGGATAGTCGTCAAAAAAATTCAATAACTCTCGGCAAAATACTAATTTTTAGACGTATGCCCTTCACGACTCTTGAAACCCCCTAAATATTTTTTTACTTTTTCCCCTTTTTTTTAAAAATGAGTAGTGATTTGGACACATCATAGCATAATCTGAGCAAACATAACCTTCACATTCCTCAAATATCCGTGCTTGATGGATGTTCATGTTGCATCTGCAAAACTGAAGGCGCGATAACGTGAGACTTGAACTCGAAATGCTCCGCTCTATGCTTTCAATGAGGTATCGTTCAGATTCGGGAAAAGAGTCAAAATCAAGGCCCGATCTCGTCTCTAAAATATTTTGCTGTGTTTCTCATGTAGCTCATGAAGCATCACCACAATAATAAGACAAACAGAACCAATACAACACGGAAATAGAGCAATAGAAAGGACCTGTGGTAAGACGGCGCAAAAATACAACTATTCGTGCTTGATTGATGTCGTCGTTGCATCTGCAAAATTGAAGGCGCGATGGCGTGAGGCGTGAACTCGCAACGCTCTGCCTCATGCTGCTAATGAGGTGCCGTCGCTCAGATTTGGTAGAAAAGTTAAGAAACGAGACCCTATTGCGTCTCTCCTATCTCCGGCTGTAGTGACTCTAGATTTTTTCCTATTTTTTTAAGTTCATGTCTGATTATTCTTTTTTTACGATGTATTTGAGGACCTGTATCTAAAGCTCGTTTTTGCCGACATCATACATC